TTGTTACTTCGTTCAGTTACATTTGCTGTATATCAAAATGTATTTTGATACATAGAAGACGATGTATCAAATAAAATATAACCTTTTAGGATATAACTTGTTTTCGAGATATTTTGAAAAAAAATATTAGAAAATTTTTTTTTTTTTTTTTTTTTAAAAGTTAAGATGTTTGGGACATATATTCATATAAAACTTTTTTTCTCAAGGAATGGGTCCAAAGAATCACACCTCTAAATATTAGCATGTCATTAAAACACATTGTATATATCTGGCATAAAATTGGAGCACTTTTTACGCCTAAGCACAAAAGCATAGATAAATGAAACAGGTTTAGATTGGAAAGTGCACATAAGTACAAAGTATGAGCCACCTATTTGGCACTATTCTTGCAACGATCGCGACCCAAAACTTTTGATAATTTCGGATTGGTTCGGCTTTTCCGGAATTATGTCCCCAAATATTATTTATTTAAATTTATTATTATTTCGGTAAAAATTTAATATAATTGAAGTACGATTATGTTACATACAAGAAACTTTATTTTATATAAGGACATGTATGTAGAATACCTGAAACATTGGAAACCGACGTTAGCCACAATCCACGATGGTTATTGCAGTTCCTGTGGTTTGACCCAGTTTTTTAGTTTTTAAACGCTTTTTCCACAATTATCACGGGATTGAGTAAATTAAAATTTAAATTCAGCTCACAGAGATAGCTTTATTCTTTGACAATGGACCCGCTCTCATTATTTTTTCAATGAGGACTGTTTAAATTTTGAGATATTTTATAATTTTTGAATATTCTGACTTTCACAAGAGAAATTATTTCTGTTGTGTTTGGGCTGTTGTTCTATAGCAACCGCTATAGCAGCGCGAGTTCGCGTACAGCGGTCGCGACGAAAACAATTATATATTTTTTTTTTATTAAATTCTTACTTATTTCCCTTTTATCTATGCACAAAGTATGAAAATATATTATTAGACGTGTCAAATTATATATTGTATAAAGTGTCGAATTTAGCGCGGGCGCTTAGGACGCCGATATATGAAAATTACGTACAACGTCTTTATAAACTGAGTTCTGATATATTTATATAATTTTTTTTTTTTTATTATGCTTTTTCAATTATTTGCATATATATATATATATATATATATATATATATATATATACCTATATATATATATATATATATATATATATATATATATATTTATTTATTTTCCAGAATGTTGGCGTTTTGGGTGTTGTAATGTGAGCAAATTTGTGATTGGGCTGTTTTTCTTAACAATGTTCCATGCTGCTATGACGGCTTATTTTTTTGCATTGGTGTGATTGTATTTATGTTATACTTCTATATGTATATTTATATTAGATTGTACTTTGTAATTTAGTTGGAATAAATAAACTCTACTAGATATTACTTTTAAACCTGCTTATATTATTTGGAACGTTTGAAGCCGTTCCAAAAAATATTTGTGGCGTTTGAAAAAAAAATAGCATGTTCTACTCGAAGTAAAACTATTTGTGCTTCGCCTGTATGTCGGTCAACCAAGTCATACGTACAGCTTTGCCACAAAAAGTATCATTTTTATTTATAATAAACCAATATACTATTTTGATAAGATACTTTACCTAGGTTACGTAAGATATTACTTGAATTTTGCTTAGCAACCATCGCATTTTCGTATAATATAGGGAAATTAAGCACTTTGTGATAAAAAAAAACTATTTGAAAAAAATATTTTCCAAAAAGAAATTGTCCCTTTAAAATAAATGTTTTTCTATCAGATAGCAAAAGTACTTGCGTCGATGTTTCCGGTAGGTAGCCAGTGAGTTTTTCGCCTACACGCATTATTCCCTGTTTAGTGAAAAATAAAGGCCATTACCGGTCCAACCTTTCGAACCGGTTCAATTTCCGCGTCGGGCTTTTGAACCCTCGGCGCCGAGGCACTTCGCTTCGGCCAAAATTTGCCAGTTTCCTCTAAATATACACGACGATTTATCACGCAGCACGATATCGTGGTAAATTATTTTTAAAAGCCCTCGGCTGGATGTCTCGTGTTTTGTTATGTAAAACGGTATTCAATGGCAACAAGCTTTTGCCTAATGTTGTTTTTTAGCAAGGAAAAAAGATTGTATGAAGAAACATATTTAGGAACCATATTATAAATTAAAATAAGATACATAAATAAGGAATTTCTTAGTGTTTTAATATTCGTGTGTATTTAGGTAAACGTTACCCCAAACCCCAACATTATTGCAAATTTAGTGCTAAACATACCTAGCGGTACGTAATAGTTTTTACGAAACTCTTATCTCAATATACTTTTGTTAGAACTAAACTTCCATAGGTTAGCTTAGGTTTTTGGGGTTTGGAATCATGTTTGATCCCTCACTCGGAGGCCTTGGGCCCATTGCGATACCCCTGTATTCTTGTACCAAACCTTTCTCTCGTTCTTTCTTTGCGTTAAAGCACTTCCAGCTCTTCGCAAAGTTCCCGATGTCGCTGATGTTGGCTTCCGCTGCTTCCTCTAGTCCTTCCAAAAAACCTTGCCCTAAAGTTTTAAAACGTCGGTATTCCAGTGCCGGACAGTGGCACAGCATGGTTTCTTCTTCCTCTCCGCATTCTCTGCAGTAGTCGTCGTCGGAAACTTTCCATCTCACGAGGTTTACCCCCGTAGGACAGTTCCTAATGACGACACCTACAATTATGCGTACTAGGTCCTTTTTGTGCTCTAGTAGTTGTTTTGTCTTTTTTCTATCTAGGATAGAATTAGAATAAGTGGGACGGGGGTTAATCTCTGCGACCTTAGATATCTATTGTGTCCCCCTTTCTTGAGTTATAACTCATCATACAGTCCCAGGACTTCCTACGGAGACCCGTGTCCCTCACAGTCGAGGAGCTACGACCCAGGCCGGGTAGACGAAACGGTAGCTTGTGTCGCCTGTTGGGTTTAGAGGTAGGAGGTAGGCTCCCTGGCGAGTCTGTCTGCTTCCTGATTGCCCACCACATTGCTGTCGCCTGGCAACCAGCACAGAGTAACCCCGCTGTGACGCAGCCAGAACAGTGCTTCTCGGCATTCCATCACAGTTTTCGATCTCACGCCAAGCGTGTAAGCTATCCAAGCTATCAGAGTATATCACTATATCTCCTATTGGTCTATCAGCAATTTTCTCTCGTATGCAACTAGCCGCTTCCTTTATGGCGTAAACCTCTGCTTGTTGAACATTACAGCCATCCGATAGTCTTAAAGATCTTCGGATGTCTAGTTCCTCTGAGAAGATGCATATACCTGTGCCTCCTGATTAACTGAACTTCCATAACTTTAAATAAAATTTCAACATACGTAAGTAAGATTTAGCATATAATAATGACCATAACCCTCGATCACTTTCATACACCCACTGAAATTTGTGTCAAAAGGAATTCTTTTGTTGTTTTTAATTGAGCAGAATAAGATAATCACGTG